CATGGAATCTCTTCCTCTTCCTTTCGCTGCGCCTCTCGTTTGGAATCAGAGTTTCAGGTACCCTTTTCTTCTTCTTCCCCAATTTGCCTTTACAAATTCGTATTCTTACAATCTCGTCCCCCTCGAAAAATTCGATTTCGGGGATGATTATGGTTTAGTTTGCTACGAAAATCCGAAAGTAGTTGATGGGTTTGATCTCAATTACTCTCCTGAAACGAAAGTTTCGTCTTTTTATTCAATGATTTCAAGTTGGGTCTTTTGCTGCTATGTCCAAAGCTTTCTTCGATTCGATTCACTTCCACTTTGCTTGGGCTAGTGTACTTTCATTGTTAGCTAGACGTTGTATATAAAATCACTTCTTCAACATTGCTATTTTGGCTTTACGTCATTGCGCTGCCTTCTCCAGTGGCAGGAATTGCTAGAGAAAAGTTTCAGTTGATTGCGCTTTAGATACTTCCTTGAAAATTGGTTATGGCTCGGAAAGGAAGTCAACAGAAGAATGGAATGGATCACCAAACGAAGCAAAGAAAGAAAACTTCTGATTCTGTGATGTCTTCAAAGGGGCAAGGGAAAGCTAGTGAAGCTGATAGTGTCATGAAAGAGAACTGCCAAGTTGATAAACAGACAACAAGTAGTCCAGTTTGTGAAACCTTAGAAAGAGATATGGATGCAGTAAAAGGCCCTGCTTTTGCTAAGGATATAGATCAGCCTGTTGCTTCAGAGACTGATTTATCTGCAGATAGACCTCATAATGAACCTGGTCCTACCAACACTGAAGAAACTAGATATATTACATTTGCTCGTGAACACATCAACGGTGTTATGAGAAGCTTGCTGGATATATTGAGCACAAACAGCCCTTCGGAGAATATTATGCTAGCATACAATGCAACACTTAGGAAACTGACTCAGTGGATGGAAAGACACAGGCCTTTGATAGTTTCTCTCAAGTCACGAGTATATAAATCCCGTGATTTTGTTGTAACGAAAATTCGGAAAGCATACCCGGTTGTCTTCAGATGGCTTATGCACTTTGGTAGCATAGTTCTTCTTCTATCTCTGGTTTGGTTGGACTGTGCATTCCGAGGTTTTGATTCTTTTATACGGATGGGAACAACATCCTTTTTCTCGATCATGTGGTGTGGTCTCTTTTCAGCGTTTTCCATGATCGGCGTGACCAAATTTATAGTGATGTCGGTAAGAATCTCAAATTTGATTGCTTATATGTTTAATTTTTGTATGCATAAATCAATATTCAATAAATACAGGCTGCAACTGTTCTGGTGGCGTTGTTTATTGGATTCGTTGTTGGGTCTATTACCCTTGCCATTTCTGGTTTAGTTTTGCTATGGCTCTATGGTAGCTTTTGGACAACACTGCTCTTCCTCTTCTTCGGAGGTAAAGTCCTTTGTATCTCAATCTTGTTGCAATAACCATTATCTTGAATTAATTTGTCTAATACAGTGTTTTATGTTCCCTGATGTAAAGGTCTGGCATTCATGCTGAAGCACGAGCGCATTGCACTGTTTATCATAACAGTGTATTCAGTCTACAGTGCATGGAGTTATGTCGGATGGCTAGGTCTTCTTTTGGCTTTTAATCTTGCGTTCATCTCAACTGATGCTCTCATATATTTCTTTAAGGACAAAATAAACCAGCAGAGGACAGCTGATGGACCCACCGAGCCCATGAATGGTTCATCTTTTGAAAACGGCCCTGGCTTTCCAGGAGACCGTGGCCCAGGAGTCGCGTCAACTAGCAGAACAGACTCTGGGTTAACATCTGAAGATGAAGTTGCTTGGCTGCTGAATTGTGCTGACCACTACTCAGCTTTGGGCTTACCTCGGTATGGGAATGTTGACATGGCTTATCTCAAGAGAGAATATAAGAAAAAGGTAATGATATTTAGCATCTCTTTGAAGTGAATGTCTCTCTTCCTGTGTTAATTGCTGGATACGCATGAGCAATAAAAACGTATGTTGAGTTAATAAGCATTGTGAAATGGTTTAATAGGCGATGGTGGTCCACCCTGACAAGAATATGGGGAATGAAAGAGCAGCTGAAGCTTTTAAGAAACTTCAGAATGCATATGAGGTAATTTTGTTTTATTGTTTCATCAATTTGTATCGGTGCATCAAGTTCCCCCATCTCTGTTCTCCTTATCTGGCATCTAGGTATTGCTTGATTCTATAAAGCGGAAATCGTATGACGATGAATTAAAGAAGGAGGAACTACTGAACTACTTTCGAAGGTTTCAGAATTCTTCTCAAAAGGTATGTT